TCAAGTAGCCTGGATGCTACTCTCTTGGCCTTACTACTAGGAACAAGAACCTGGAGAAGTAGTAGCCTGTTAAGAAGTGTGCTGGACAGCGAAAAAAAACATGCACCTTTTGGGCTCGAAGGAACGAGTACGGCTTCGATGCAGGTGGGCTTAAGCTACTGCTTACCGCTTAAACGACGCTTTTCTTCCAGAAAGCTTTTGGAGTTTGGGACATGTTTCGAAGCTCCAATCGTTTTGCCACCAAGCTGCTTTGGGTGGAGTCGAGGAGGTTGGGACAGAAGATCCAGTGATAATCTTCTTCATCTCGTCCCAATTTGAATCCTCCTCATCCTCTCCACAGTAAAAGGACATCCAGATCATCTGAATCTGGGCTGGCGACCCACAAAAAGAAATCGCACCTTTCTCTTCGTCATACCCTTCTAGATCCTATGAACTCAAGCTGACAAGTCCTGTTTGCTGCTTTCTGTCGTATGTTGGACTTTTACCAAACACCCCACCGTGACAATGTCACGACATGGCCTCATCATCCCACATGGCTCGGTCTGAGCTGAAAGCAGTGTGTGGGATAGTACTAGTATATATACGTCTCGTACAGTAGTACCGTTGAACCATGCAATGTGGCTTCCGTGTTTTCATCGAAGGCCCTTCGTCTAAACCAAGCTGGTATTGCACTCGTTCGAATTCAAGGCTCTCAGCAACGATCTTTCGAGCGAAGTTGCTTTCGCACTGTAGGCTGCCTGTGTTGACCCCTCATGGTGGGTGGCACAAGTTCACAGCAAAAATCTGAAAGGAGCCCAGGTCAGCATGCAGTCAAGACTTGCGAAATGTCTTCCATCACCCATGAACTGAACTACCCAAAGATTCCTTCATCAAAATGGCTTTGAAGGAGAAACCTTCAAGGCACGTGCCAGCCAACGGAGGACTTTTCTGGGCTGGAAGCAGCTACAAGCAAAAGCAAGGCCTGTGCTCACTTTCTTATCTAAGAAACAATGTTGTGTCAGATTGTCAGATCGCGGCATTCAAAAGGTTAATTGCCACGGTTCCGGACACCCTCTATGTCTGCATTCTCCGAGCTCTCTGGCAGGAGGTCGAAGTCCTGAACGACCATTCTTCTAACAGTTATCGTGGTTCGAATGTCACAACCCACCAAGCATCATCAGTCTGGAATGTATATCTGATATAATTCTTATATAAGCTTCATACCAGTTCTATTCTGCTCCAAAACTCATACCCCCAAAAGCGCCTCCGTCGGCACTTTTAAGACTTCCGCGGGTGAGCCGCCCTGGCGGTGAGCGCAGTAGAAACAAGTGCATCGCTACTAGTAACAAGCGCCACGCTACTAGTAACAAGAAGCTAGTAGTAACAAGTGCCTCGCTAGTAGTAACAGGTGCCTTACTAGTAGTAACAAGAAGCTACTAGGAACAAGTGCATCGCTTCTAGTAACAAGTGCCTTACTAGTAGTAACAAGAAGCTACTAGGAACAAGTGCATCGCTAGTAGTAACAGGTGCCTTACTAGTAGTGACAGGAAGCTACTAGGAACAAGTGCATCGCTTCTAGTAGCAAGTGCCTTACTAGTAGTAACAAGAAGCTACTAGGAACAAGTGCATCGCTAGTAGTAACAGGTGCCTTACTAGTAGTAACAAGAGTGCGGCACACGGAGTCACCGCACCGGTGCGGCACAGGACGCTGCCAAGGCACCGATCTTCGGGCCCGCAGGCACTGCTCCACTGGATCCTCAAAGCGCGTTGTCCGTTGAGTGATTCGGTGAGTGTTTAAAATGCCACAGCAAACAATACGAGGCTTCTCCGTGTTTCTCAATCTTTTGTGAGAGGGCCAACTTGCCTCCACATAGCTTTTGTAAACGCCAGCAAAGGCCCAAAGGACCAGCAAGTAAACCAAGAAGACCTTGGGCCACGGAGACCAGATGTGCTGTCTGCGAAGCTGGCGAAGTGATGTCCAGGTGCTGGACATCCATCTCATCAGTGGCAGTGAAGAGTTCAAAGGTGTCGTGCACTGGCCGCTGGAAGATGTAAACCTCGGAATCAAATCTCCAAACCGGAATTAGTGATGCGAACAAAAGTAGTCAGGCATTAGGTCTCGAAGAGTTTTGGTCTTAAGGTCTAGAAATCCATATGTTTCGTTTCTAACTCTTGGACTTTACCTGCAAAAATCTGAGGGCATTCTAGAGGTCTTGAATGTCTCGTCAAGCGACCTCAAAGCTCATCTCCCCTAGCGATACGAGAGCCTCAGGCCCACAAAGTGGTTGACGCTTACAGGCGGCTGAAGTCAGCAGTGTGCTAGCCACGCTCCGCTTCGTTAACTTTAGAACTGAACGGCATTTTTCTCCTAGAAGCGCTGTGCTTTTCAATGTTTTTTGAAAATTGATCAAAATTGAACAAAACATTGATGATGCCGGTTATGCCGGTCGGGCTAGATCGCAGAATTGACATCACAGACATCTCGGGAAGCCAAGGGGCACTGCACTATGGATATGCGATGCCGGTTATGTCGGCCGGAGGAAAGGACATCGCAGAAATCGCAAACGTCGAAGTAAACCGTAGGATACTGTACGATTGATATCGTGGATGTGTTCGGTCGTGTGCTCAGTCCGACTGGATGAGGTGAATGGTATTGGGCATGTGGCTTTTGATGTTTTTTGGTGGGAACAGTCGCATGTGGTTTTTGACACCGAGACAGAGACAGAGACAGACAGAGACAGACAGACAGACCCAGACAGAGCCAGACAGACCCAGACAGACAGAGACAGACCAGACCCAGACAGACCCAGACAGATCTAGACCCAGACAGACCCAGACAGACACAGAGAGACAGACCAGCCAGCCAGCCAGCCAGCCAGCCAGGCAGGCAGACAGCCAGACAGACAGACACCCAGACCGACCGAGACAGACTATTGACATCGTGCGTGTGTTCTTCCGTGTGTCCTGCCCGAACAGACGCACACACTCCGTGCGGGCGGCTTCGTGCGCGAAGCGCTGTGAATAGGAGGTGAAGCTGATCAAAGCAATACCATTAACGGACATTCAGTTAACACCGGTGAGTCACGGGATGAGCCAAAAGCCGTGCGCACCAGCCTGGAAAAGGTGAAAGGATGTGAAAGGCCATTTCAGGTTGGATTCGATGGCGTAAACGATGGATTCGTGAAGTTCCAACTTTATTGATTCACGATCTAAGATGCTCTTTCTGTTTTGATTCCCGATTTCTTCAATGATTCCAACTTTGCCTGGACGTTCTCGATCGGCGCAGGAGCCAAGGATGAAAGCTGCCAGGGCAGACAGGGCACAGGGTCTTCAGGCCAGTCTTGGCATCACCGCTGACTTTCACCACTGACTGCTGTTTTCACAATCGACTTCGCAGAATGCTCGAAAGAATCCCATGCAAAACTACGTGGTTTTGTGTTTGACTTTAGCTAGTAACAAAGGGCATCGCTACTAGGAGCGTTCGGACGCTACTAGGGGCTCTTGGCCTTACTAGGAACAAGAGGACGCCATGAACGTAGCGATGCATCAGCATCGATCCTTTCAGCCTGCGAGTAGTGGCGCCAGTCCATGGTCCAGCATTGGCTCCCAGCCGTTGAGGTGCAAGGCCCACGTCGTTGCAGGCCGTGGAAGCAGGAAGACCACCTCACCGAAACACGGCAGGTATGACACCCATAGACCGAAATGAGAGGACCCAAGGCCTTCAAACGACACGCGGAATTCCGTAGAATACTACGAAATTAAGAAGTATACTACGATACGAGGTCTTACTGCGTAGAATGGCATCCACCCTTGTGAAAGAGTTCTTCAATAGGTCGAATGTCGCTAAATGAGGCATGCCACTAGCACCACCACGAGCAGACTGAAATCTGCCAAGAAGTGAAGGTACTTTCCTCCGCGTCGCACCAACGCCGCAGTCGTCATGCCCAGCACGAAATCGGACATTTGAGACGGCGGCCTCAGTCATCATGCCGCTCTCGCTTGAGGTCGTGGATTTGACACGAGAAATAAAAATGTGTATGTCAAACATAAAATGAGCTCTTCCTTTCTTTCTTTCTTCCTTTCTTTCTTTTTTTGCCCTGAATTTATCGATCTTTTCTCCTTTCTTTTCCTTCGTCTTTTAAGACCAAAGTTTAGCGCAATTAAAGGTGACTGGTGCAAGCCATCTGAACACTTACGGGGCAGGAATGACTTGGAGTGTTTCGTGCAACTCAGGCATCCGAACCAAAAGGTCATGTCCGAATGCTCCTGCCTTGGCAAAAGTGAATGCAGGTAACTATTGATCATGCTTCACCATGTCGCTGAAAGAAAAAGAAAAGGAAGTGTCAAAGGGACAAACGAAACTAAAAGAATCAAACGAAACAAACGAAGCATGTCTGATGCTTTTGTCCTTTAGAAACTGCGTGGCTTTGTCGCTCTTTGTGCCGACAAGCCACATGGTGATGTTTCCATGCACCAGGAGCAGGTACACCGCTGGACCTGGCCAGCGCTGAAAATCGCAATCCCATCAATCTGAAACAGTATTCAAGCAATTTCAAGCACCTGCTGAGGAAAGGAACAGGAATGCCTGAAAAAAGAGAAGACCAGCTCCTGGTCTTTGTTTCCCTCATTCTCTCCAATGTCTGGAAACAAAAGGCATTGAGGGATTTCCCAAACTTCTGACCCTTTCAACCTCGGATTCAAGTCTCCTCCACCAATTTCTTCGGCCAAATAGACCAATTTTCGGGTCAGCGGATACCTCAGTGTTGGGAAGAGAACTCGTCAGCGGATACCTTTGACGACGACGGCTCAGACGAGCTCCGTCTGTGAGTCACTCGGAGTCACACAAGATCCATGAAGGAAGCAGCGCGAAGACGAACCAACTGGGGCCGTTGGGGCACCTGACTCACCGCAAGAAAGGCAAAGAGCCCATCAAATATGCAAAACTGAAACCTTCTTGCTTGTTGCTTGCTTGGTCTGGTTTTGCAAACTCTGATTTTAAAAAAGAAACCAGTAACCTTGCATTTGCTCCGCATTCATGTAGCCTTTGCATGTCTCTTTTTCCCTTCTGAGGTGTGGGCCAATGAACCCATTGCTCGACAAGACAAAGGCATCTCACCACATAGTCAACCTATAGACCAGAACGACCAAACGCAAAGATTGGACAAAAGCATGCCTTCACACAGCCTGTGTGTCCCATAGAAAATGGTCCGACCTCTTGTGTCCAATGCATTAGCTCCAATTACAAACAAATCCACCATTCGCACCTGCAGCTCTTGTCCATTCTTGTGCTGCAAATACACGGCCCACAACATGGCCAGCCAAAAGGTCACCAGCACACGGCTCAAACGACGAACATAGAAATGCAGCAGCTCGTTCACAGACTCCAAGGGTCGCCCTTCACTTGTCCAGTGCGTCACAAAGCCGCTCACCACAACGAAGAAACAGACCGCCACGTTCACCCGGAAGACTGCACCATTCAAAAAGTCGCCCGTTGCCGTTCCTTTGGGCATATAGTGGGCACAAACAATCCAGAAGGCAACCAAACTGCGGGCACCATTTAAGTGCTGAAACTGCCCTTCCTTACCCATGGCATAAGGCACCAAGGAAGAGAGGAAACATGAAAAGGAGTACTGAAGCTGATGTGGCAAACACTCGTTCAAGTCCACCTGTCTGGCTTTCCAATTGGTCATGAGAAAGAATGAGAGACAAGCTGTCTTGATGTCTTCAGTTGCTGCTCAGTCAGGCCGGGGTGATGCATCCGAACTGCAAGCCACTCAAATGCATAAGTCTAAGTCTATTTCAAGTTGAGTCAAAGTCTGATTCCGTCTCCGAAGGGCCAAATCAATGAGTCGCAAATCCTCATTGCAAATACTTCACTGATTCATTCGTTGCGCTATCTCCTCTGTTGGTCGGTCGTCCTTCCGAATGCAGGTTCGAACTTGTCAGCTGCTCAGTTGAACAATATGCCTTCAGGCATCGTGGACCTGTACAAAGGCTAGCTGACCTTGTCCCAAAAGAAAAGCAAAAGATATCAAAGAACGATGGCACCGCCTTACGGCACCGCCTTGCGGGCCGGGCACGGCACCGGCTTACTTGACACAAATGGTCTTCACATTGACAAACTCTAACATCCCAAAGGCCGCGCACTCACGGCCCAGACCCGAGCTCTTAACCCCTCCGAAGGGCAAGGAGGGATCCGAGCGCACAAAGTCGTTCACGAAGCACATCCCAGCATCAATATCCTTCACAGCCATGCGCTCGCCCTGAGATAGCACGAGAAATCAGTGGAATGGTACAATCTTTACAACCAAGAACAATCAGAACTACAGTCTGTCAGCAGCGACTGCCTTCTGAAGATCACTTGTGAAAATTGCCCCAGCCAATCCATAGTGGGTCTGATTCGCAAGTCGGATCACCTCCAATTCATCTTCTGCCTATCACAGAGTTGTCGCATGGTTCTGTGCGTCGCATCGTTTCCTTTTCTCAATGTCACACGCGGTTTCTCCCATTTTTCGTGCCTCAATGATAGAGATCACTGGACCGAAGATCTCCGTTTCGAAGGCCGTCATGCCAGGTCTCACATCCGTTAAAACCGTCGGCGGGAAGAAGGACCTCACGTGGTTCCATCGTGTGACTCGTGTGCCAGCAGTTCAGATTGACGCCAAACAGGGCCGCCTTAGGACACTCACTATTAGCCAGAACGCTTCAGTAGGCGCCCACTTAATTAAGGAAGGCGACCAGTAAGCTACTAGCTACTAGTTAGCTTCTAGTCACTGGACGCAGGATTGCTCACGGCTCACGCTTGGTTCCTAGCTTTTTAGAGAAACTTAACCCTTTCCTCCTTATTTGTTCCTTTCTTTAGACCTTACGTTTCTTTCTTTTAAGCGCATTCGGTCTTGGACTCAACGGCCCCTTACTTCATCTAAGAGTACTGTCAATCGGGATTTAGGTCTGGAATGAAGGAGAAAAGCAGTTGCTGACTCTAAGGACCTGACTTGCCACAGTCAGATAATTAAATTAAACTGTTTCAAATAGCGATGCACTTGTTACTACTAGTAAGGCACTTGTTACTACTAGCGATGCACTTGTTTCTAATAGCAAACATTGTTACTACTAGTAAGGCACTTGTTACTAGTAACGTGGCACCTGTTACTGACTCTAAGGACCTGACTTGCCACAGTCAGATGTTGGCACTTTCACATCTGGTCCGCCACAAAGGAGTTTGGCTCCTTGCGATTGAGTCTCGACCACCTGTTTGGCTACTTGATCACGGCCCACAGGATGCACCAGTGGGCCATAGTCCACTCCATACTTCTTTCGAGATATCTTCTCCACGACCTTCTGCTCAAAGGCTGCCTCTGTTTGGAATACTGTCGGGTCAGAATATGCGAAACTGATGAAATGAAAGAATTGCGGCTGAAAACCTGAAGTCATTTCATTCATTCTTGAATTCCAATGGCTTTCGTTGTCCATTCTCGCGGCCTTGACGCTCTTCTCCACAATGGCCCGCTTGGGTGCAATGCAGGTCTGTCCACTGTTCGCCACCCGAGCGTTCACCACTGCCTCAGCAGCCATGTCCAAATCGCAGTCGGCCAGGATGGCGTAGGCATCGCTTCCTCCCAGCTCAACAACTGCCTCGAGCGGGCACGACTTGAAGATCCTCAGGTTCTTTTTGGGTGACCTTTGTCAAATGTTAAAACTGCAGAGAAAAGGATGGATAGCTCCATCACTACAATACGCTATCAAATCATAGAGCTAGGAGCAAGGACACTACTAGGGGCTCCTGGCCTTACTACCAGGAACAAGAGACGCTACTAGGAACAAAGGGCATCGCTACTAGGAGCGTTCGGACTTTACTAGGGGCTCACACTGTGCTCCCTGCATCCCCCAGGCCTTCTTGAGAAGGGACCCTGCTTTAGCAGCCACAGCTCGTCCTGCAACTTCAGAGCCTGTCAAGGCCACACCTGGAAGCGAACAGCGAACGGAGCCCCCGCGACCTGTGCAAAGAGAAAAGTGGCATGTGAATTTGTGTTTCTTATGTTGTTATGTTTTTTGTTTCTTTTCTCTCTTTAGACCTTTATATAGACCTGTTCTTTCAATTGTGTTCTTTTGTTTTCTTTCTTTCTTCCTTTCTGTTTTCTAAGGCTAGTCTAGAGCAAGAAGTGGCCAAGAATCGTTTCGGCGAACCCTCTAACCCTCTATGCCTTGAATGGACGGATGCTCCAAGACCTTATTGGTCTGTGGCACGTCAAGGATCATTGACCGGAACAAGCCATCCGGCAGAAGATCCTTCAGCAGCTCCTTCGGGCAGCAACTTCAGCAAGCAAACAAACGTCAATGCTGTGAGGGTCCTCGCAAAGGAGGCTGCTTCCAAAGCAGTTGGGCGCATGCTTCAGTAGAACTCCATTGCCCGCCATGAGGGTCGGCACACCCATCCGCACCACCTGCCACATAGGAAAGTTCCAAGGCATAATGGAGAGGATCAAACCTAAGTTGAGACAGTACAACAAGAATGCATTTCCTTCAAACTCCACGGAAAATAGTGGATAGCGACGCCTAAGACCCAATTTTGTTGAAGCAAACCAACCCAAGCGGATTTTAAAGCTTGTGGAAGTTGAGGACACCATCGGGCCAATGCACTCCAATCTTCCACATATCCAAGGCACCAAGGGGCTGGTAGGTGACAAAAGACTTCTGGAAACCCGGTAGTGCAGGATACTCCGTGTCTTTCAGAAACTCTGCGCCATTTTCTGCATACCAATCAACCTAAAGCGGTATTGGAGTGAGTCAAGGGATTGAATGAACGAAGGGACTCTCTGGAGCTCACGTAAAAATGTCCAACACCCAGACGCGAGATTCTTGGGAATTGTTCAGTGACGTGTTCTCAAGAAGCCAAATGTCCTAAGTACTTCAATTCGGTACTTGACACTTCGAGATTGACAAGTTGCTAAGTAAGCGCATTTCATCACCTCTGCTTTGCCCTGGGCTAGGGGCTTCCCCATCTCCTGGCACATGAGCTCTGCAGCCTGCAGCGCACCAAAGCCCACATTCGGATGACACTTGCTCCTAGTAGTGGTGCCTTTTGTTCCTAGTAGCTTCTTGTTCCTAGTAGTAAGGCCAGGAGCCCCTAGTAGCGTCCTTGCTCCTAGTAGCGATGCCCTTTGCTCCTAGTAGCTTCTTGTTCCTAGTGGGGTGAGGCCTAGATTCTAAATGACATGATGGCATGATGATGTCTGACCTCGTCAGCACGATGTCTCAAGCGTTCGGCCAGAGGCGCAAGCGCTGCTACACGTTCGGCAGCAGGGACTTGTCGCCATTCCTTCGACTCAACAAGTTCATGTGTCTTTCGTTTGTTGTCTTTTCCTTTTCATATTTCTCAGCCCGTCCTTCCCTTCTTCTTTGACCTTCGGACCTTTAGACCTTTCTATCTATATATGTATGTTTCTCAAAAGGGCTGGTGAGGTCTACATGTTGGAACTAGCTTGTGCTCGCAAATTAACAATCAACTTCCACGCAAATGCGTCCTGAAAAGCCACATTGGCCTTCTCCACGATCTGTCCAACGGTGTCTTCGCTCCTAAGCTGCGGTGCCGATGCTACGACATCCGTGACCTTCAAACATGGACCAAGTGGCATGGCTTCGTAGACATGGAAAGTCTGCCCATTTCGAGGATTCACTTGTGGAAACCTCGAGCCAAATACACAAAGAAAAGATCAAATCACCCAAATCAATCTATTCAATCTCTTGAATGAAGCGAGTTGCGTTGCTGCGCAGCGGCGATGTCTCGCCAGCCCCAGTGCCGCCCGAGCGGCCCGTGGTCGGAAGCAACTCATGTCGCAAGTCGGGCCAAGAGGCAAGACAAAGTCGTGCCTTAAAATTGCATAAAATGGGCAAAGTCAGCTGTTAGTATGGTTAGTGTGGAAGAAATCTTGTGGTTCATGTTGGGGCAAGTTGTGTTGTGTTGGTGGTTGCACCCTCGAATATGTAACTGGCTGTCAGGCGGGCTTGAACTATCAACGTGCAAAAACAAGCTGATCATGGCACAGTTTAACGTCATGGCACTTAGCCTAGAATCGTCTCGACCCTCCCTCTCTTTTCGTTTGCTGGTTCATTGGCACTGCATTCCTCTCACTCACAGGGTGGGCGCCTCTGTTGTGACCTGACATCAGGGGAGAGGCAAGACTTGAGAAGAGGCATCTGGTTTCAGAACGCAGAACTGGTTTCGTTCCTTTGAACAAAGCCGTTTGCGTTGGAGAACTTCTGACTGAATTGAACGCACATCGTGGTGCATCGTGGCACCTTCGGAGGAGGTAGCACACCGAAGCGCGTGCTGGGCACCCTGCCTGGAGAGTCCTTGGCAAAGTGTGGAAGTGGGTCATGGTCTGTTGGCTCTCAAGTCAGGAACAAAGGGCATCGCTACTAGGAGCAAGTTACTAGGGGCTCCTGGCCTTACTACTATTACTACTAGTAACAAGAAGCTACTAGTAACTCCTAGGTCCTAGGGCTCCCAAAAAAAGGCCAACATTGCAAATGTCTTTCAATTGCTATTCAAATGACATCCACAGCGACCCCTAGAGAGTTGGCGGGCTGCCCTGAAGTGGGGGAAAGTAGTGGGGAAAAAAGTACCAGGTCTGATTCTCTGCCCAGATTCCTGCTAGTAGTAACAAGTGCCTCGCTAGTAGTAACAAGTGCCTTACTAGTAGTAACAAGTGCCTTACTAGTAGTAACAAGAAGCTACTAATTTTAATTCTAACAGCTTCTTGTTACTACCAGCGAGGCACTTGTTACTACTGGCGAGGCACTTGTTACTACGAGTACTCCAGGTCTGATTCTCTGCCCAGATTCCTGCATACAGACTCCAGAAGAGTCCTAGCACTTGGAATTCGATGAACTCAAAGCAATTGTAAAGGTCAGCAACCAAGAGCTTCAGCGCTAGTAGGTTGGAGGCCATCGCTATTAGGTTGGAGGCCATTGCTATTAGGTTCGTTTCTATGTTGTTGTGTTTAAAAGGACTCCCTGCTCCCTGTCTAAGAGAGTGGCGAGCGTTTGCGATCTTGCACCGGCCTTGGTGAGAATGAACCCTGGATGAATGGGGCAAAAAGAGGCATCAAAGGGCTCAGCCTTGTCACCATCCCAAGAGGACAGCTGAGGACCCTCAGGTACACCTGCAAACGTGCAACAATCTGGAGCACCATCTTTCGTTCATGACAGTTCCAAAGTTCCTCTCTTGGTTCATCAAGATTCATGAAGCCTTGCAGATATTGTCGAGAACCAGCATTGACAGCCTCCACACCCAGAGGAGGTGACGGAGCCTAAGCGTCGACTTTGTTGGTCTTGTTGCTTCTCTTGTTCAGCCAAGAGACTGGGGATGTAGGAGAGGTTTGCAGGGCCGGAAGAGATGGCAAAGAATACGTGCCATCCAAGCCCGTCCTTGCTGTCACCTCATCGGAAGACTCCTTGAAGACGCTTCTCCGAACGACCCTGCACCGTTTCTGCTTGGGTTGCCCTGCTTGCCAAGGCGAAGCCCAGTCCGGAGTCTTTGGACAACCTGAGAACCAAAAAGCAGAGATTCCAAGATACAGGTGAGCAGGGGCATCGCTAGCAGTAACAAGTACATCGCTACTAGTGGCTAGAAGCTACTAGTAGCGATGCACCTTGTTACTAGTAGCAATGCACGTGTTACTAGTAGCGATGCCTGATTGTTCCAAGAGATCTGTCAAACCTTTAGGCTTGGGGCCAAACCTTCAACCGTAGGTGAGCCCTGCCGACACAAACAGGTTAGTCTCTGAATCTCTGCCTCTATGAGTCTCTCTGAGTCTCTCCGAGTCTCTCTGTCTTGTCCATGACGCCTGAGCAAAGCTGGGCGTCCTGACCTAAAATGAAATTGGTCAAGCACGTGGCTTCATCATGACTGCAGAACAAGCAAGCTTGTCTCATTTTGCCTCAGGACACCACAGGTGTCTGTGACTCCTCTGCTCCATTCAAAGCGACCTGGTTGTCAGAAGGGAGAATTCCAAAAACACATGAAAATACGAAGAAGTCATAAAGACATATGAAGGCACCCTTCACGTCCGGCTATGCCTAGGACAAACACAGTGGAGCTCTGGTACCTCCCTCACCGTGGCTACAATACCCACGAGCACCTGCATGCGGAGGTCAAGAATCTCTGACTCACCTCAGGAACGACACTTGAATAGTAACTTTTTACATGTACTGTATTATGACTGCAAAAAATCCAAGCGATGTTTGTTTGATTCCAACTTTTCTCATCCAGCTCTTCCTTCTGCATTTCTGCTCTTTCTCTCTCAATTCTCGTTGCCTGAGCGAGCTCCATTCGGCTCTTTTTGTACTGCTACGCGCGCTATCTGCTTTGAGGCTCTGGCAGCGCGACACTCGGCTGCCAAGCTGTGTGGCCTCACGGGTTGTTTGTAACGTTCGAATCAGTCTCCCTAGTAGCAGCCTTTGCTCCTAGTAATACGGCCAGGAGCCCAGTAGAGTCCTTGCTCCTAGTAGCGATGCCCTTTGAACCAAGACCGTTCTGAGTTTGGCACGACGTTCCGAGCGTCACTGAGCTCCGCATAGAGCTGCAGCCAAACGGAGCATTGCAAAAACGGAGACCGTCCGTTTTATTATCTTGTTTTACTCTCCGTTTTACTCTTTTCTCTGTCTGATTCTCTTGTCCTTCCGCTCTTTCTTGTCGTGTTCTTCTTTTCTTCAATTGTCCCCTTCTTCAATTAACCCTCAAAAACACTTCAGAAACACATGAGCATGGGAAATCCAAAGGGAAGATGAGCAAAAATGGTCCCCGATGCCTGAACTCGCAACTCGTCAATGCGATGGATGACGTCCCCATCATTTCCTACCTGGAAACAAAGAGAGGCAACAAAGCACCATTGCACCGAAATGCGGCATCAGGACTAGGACAGAACACCTCTCGCTTCGACAGAGCTGGAGATGTAAGTGGAGATGGCATCGGCGACTGTGCCAAGTCCTCTTCCAGCCGTGCTATGCGCCTCCAACACAGCTTGTCTTGTCTCTAGTCATTTATAAACAAAGTGGAAACAAATGCCTTAATCATAATCAATAATCATCATTAATCTCAGTCCTGGCACATCCCCACTTGAGCAATCAGTCATCTATTGGGGGCACCTCTCCGCTCAAGGGAAAACACCACCTCCCAACCGCACCTCTTGTGTCGCTCTTTCTCTTGCCTGCGAGATGGCTGACCACTGAAAGCAGTCACAAGTCAGCAGAGTCCGAAAATGCCTCATGCCACACCGACTCTTTTCATACCCATTCTGCACCTCTGCAGGCTCTGCAATTCATTCTCCACCAGCTGCAATCGTTGCATCACGGAAGAAGATGAGAAGGCCTGGGCAGCCTGGGCTGCTTGGTTCAAGGCTCGGTGCATGGCAGTCTCCGCAAGGCGTTGGGCTGCATCCTGCATCAAGAGCTACAAGTTGGTACACAAGATGCTTGTCATGACAGAGGCTACACCTGTGGTTGTGAAGCAGAAGGGTGCCATGGCTTGCAAGCACGTGCAGTATATGGTTCCCCTGATTCCTTCTCATGATTGCATAGACTGAAACTTGGAATCCAAAAACTCTGGTTCTCCCCGGTTCTCCTGCAAGTCTGAGAGATGCTGTTCCCGCTTGGCTGCTTCCTGTCGAAGGGTCTGTTGGCCATCAGAGACCTTCTGCTCCAACTGTTTGACTTGTTCCTGGCCGGGAGATGTCCATGTTTTTTTTTACATGTAAGGATGAAATCTTGGTCTTCAGATATCAAGCAGCTTTAAAGATAAAGGAGATCAACAAAAAGGTCTCGTCGCCCGCAAAGACCCCGCGCGAAACGCACATGTTTTTCAAAGGACGTTTCGATCCTTTAGACGTGAACGTAAACACTTTCCTGAAAGACCCAGGAGCAAGGACGCTACTAGGAACAAGTGCATCGCTACTAGTAACAAGTGCCTTACTAGTAGTAACAAGGACTCTACCAGGGGCTCCTGGCCTTACTACTAGGAGCAAGGATGCTACTAGGACACACTTTCTTCATTTCTCGCAGAAAGAACGTCAACCAGTACCGCGGAGAAGAGCATCAACGGTTTCTTCATGTTTCGTAGACATGACATGCAAACCATCCGTCTTCTAAATTAGATACCGAGAGTTCTTATCCCCAGCCCGTCCCCACCCCACCGCAAAGCGAAACGTGTGCACTTTCTTCAACGTACAAAGGAACGTCAACCGCACTTTCCTCACGTACCGTAAACAATATGTTTATCAGTCTTCCATAGACAGAATACATTGGATACCGAGCTTTTTTACCCCCCCAGCCCATCCCCACCCCCCACCCTCCCAAAACAACGTGACAGGCGTTGGAAAATATGTGCACATGAATTCGGAAGGCCACTGGGGAGAGAGTTGTTCCTATTAGCAAAAAAACTAAAGCCCCCAGGCTTGTTATAGCTGGCGTGAGCAAAAACAAGGTAAGGCCCCTTGAAAGGAGGCCCTCTCTTCTTTTTGCTCTTGAGAAAGATCAGGAAAATTAATTCTTTTGCAGTTTTGGGCCTTCAAGTGTCCCTTCCGCACTACAATCAAGCGCGTGCAAACAGCGAACCAACTTTGGACACTTCTCCTGGAAGATGTGCTTGAGCTCCGTCTCCCTCAAGCCCGGAATGTCCTGATCAGCGCGCATGGGGCTCCAAAAAGCGGGAAACTCTGCGCAACGGTCTGAAGGGTCCTGAAGCTGTGTCAACTGGCTCTGAAGCTGCTGTTGCAGTTGAGGCTGCACATGTGTTTGGAGCTGCATTTGGATAATGCCACTCAACTGCGTCTCCAGCTGCTGCGAGAGTTGCTGCGAGAGCCGTGCCTCGAGCGTCTCAAAGCTCCCACGCAACTCCGCCAAATGTGGTCGCCAATCCTCAAAAAGTCACAAACTCAATGTCTCTCGGATTTATGCCACACCTCTCAAGCATGCATGATTCAAAAAAAAGAACTCTAGTTCAACACACATCTCCGCTTTACTCAGTTCCTCCCGTACACAGTCTATGCCCAATTAGATGTGTCCATGTCTGCCTCCACTTGTTGAGATGCTTTTGGCTTCGGCTCCACTGCAAATCCGGCAGGCCTCACGAGCGCTGGGTCACAGCGGATGAGGCTCTTACAGTACAAATCGACATGCCGACATGCCGACATGCGTTTGTTTCGACATACCGTTGACACCCTCTTCCAAGTGAAGACAAAATGTCGAAAAAGGATTGTTGTTTGACAGCTAAACTACTAACTACCCCGCCTGGCTTCCAGCTGCTGGATCTTGGACTCTAAGAAGTTCAACTTTGTAGCAAAGTTGCCATCCGAGGTCCTCAACCTCAAATATTCCGCCTCCAAGGATCGACGCCATGCTGCTTCCTCTGTCTGCAAATGTCGGAAGGTCTCCTGAGATTTTAGAGAGGGTGTCGCTCCGGCCAAGACCAGAAGAAAAAACAATACCTGTTTCTAACAGAGGAAAAAGACCTCCTTGCGTACTTTTACATAGAACCCACCAGAAGGTTTGATCACAACGCCAGCTTCCTGCAGTGACTGCTGCTTCTCCACCAACTGCTCCAGCTGAAGATCATGTTTGGCCAAACGCTGTGTGAGTTCCTGTGAGATATCCTCGATGACGCGCACCAAACGCGCCTGTGCATCACCCAAACCTTTCACATCTCGTTGCAAAGCACTGCTCTGCAGGCTCTGCTGCAAGCTGCTATGCAAGCTGGACTCACGTTCCCGCACGCTCACGCTCCTCAATTCTCACAGAAAAAAACTAACATTGCCTTGTCAGTTCGCTTTTTGAAACTTCACATGTGCTCAGAACCCTTTATATGTTTTTGTAAATAGAATCTCTCACAACTTTAATACAGTGCTTCACATTTGCTTTGAAAAAACCTTGTTTTGGCTCCTGGAAGCGCTGTGCTCCAGCCGCTCCTCTCTTCGCCCCCGACGGCTCGGCTCCCGTCTTGAGCTTGGAACATCCATGGTGCAACCATTGCTTGATCTCCGAGTCGACACAAAAGGATTCTTATTTGAAAACAAATATTTGAAACAACCGTTTGAAACATGATTGAAACATGTTGACCTTGGAACCTGATGGAAGAACTTCAGTCACTAGCAAGCATCTTCTGCCAAACATTCTTGCACGTCAAAAAGACTTAACAGTGTCAGACTGTGTGAATGTGAACATGGGTTTTGAGCAAATCAGCTGATCAACTTTAGAGAATCCAAACAAACTCGATCAACTCAACACGTCGAAGATTGAAACACTAAGACGTCCTGTTGCTCAGGCCGAAGCGTGGCGGTAGGCCGTGAGGTAGTAACTTACAAGTAGAAATAAGAGGAGTAAGCTGCTAGCAAATATAGTAGTTTCTCAGGTTTGGACAGAGAAAGGTTCAAGTTTCTTCAAAACAATTTGAGTTTTAATGAGTTGGTGCCACCTAGGTTACTATATTTAGGAAATTCCAATAAACATACAAAAATGTTCTTCAACCAAAATTGTAGAAGCTGATTTCGGTTGACACTCAACAAATCACGTGCATCAAAATAGTGTTTTGTTGTCAGGTGATGGTTGTTAGATTTTTAAGTGTGGTGTCTTCCGCTCCTCCTTCCCCTTCTCCGCTCTCCAACAGCATGCTCTAGCAAACTCCACATCGCAGTGGGCACTACGCACCTCAACGGGGTTATAAAGGTATAATAGGATTGCTTTAAAGATTGGATGGAAATGATAGAAGGGTTGCCTATGACGCCCTCACAGGTCAACAACCTGTGTTGGCGGACCCTAACCAAAAGCATGCAAACAAAACCCTAACCAAAAGCAAACAAACA